TGCACTGGCACATGCAATATGTGTCCGAACCATCGTAGTTGGCGCAGCGACACAAGCGCCTAGAGAAAGTGGCTACCTCCACCTGTCTGACTTCAACGTTGGTTACGTGCTTCAGCCAACACACACGGGCGATGGACTGCAAGCAATGGTTTTCGAAGACAGACAGTCGGCGCAGATCATCGGTACGAGCAGGCCTAAGTCTCGCAACCGTACCACAGTACAGCGCGGACAGAGGCACTATAAACCCGTCATTTGGTGGGGAGACTGATGTCATGGCAGCGCCATAAATGCCTCAGCCTGGAGAAGGTGAGATGAGCCCTTGAGATACACATCGAAATCTCGTTTCCAACAGCCCCACCAGCAGTGATGCAGCTTCCCAGGTGGACAAAACTGTACCACTTCTAACGTTTCCCCGTCGATGGTGAGTGCAGGTAGGGGCGCATATAAGTCATGAAAAAGCGCTTTGCACTTGGATGGCAAAAAGTGCCCACCATACTCCGACGCTTCGAACGCCAGGCGGTTAAGTGCAACTTGGAAGGCCTGCGGACAGTCACCCAACAAGATAATATCATCAGAGTAATCCAAATCAACCACCCGACTATCTGGGAGGAACACAACGCCAGCGTTCCAGAAGTCTAGAGCATTTTTGAGGACCTGCTCAGTGGCGAAGTTGAAGCGAAATGGAGAGATGGGGCATCCTAGTTGAACCCCACTGGTGTCAACAAAGGAGGGCGAAAACATGTCATAATCCCTAACTCTACCCGAGGTAAGACTATACAGGGCACGTAGAGTGGAAACGAACTTCCCAGGAGTACCATTCCTCAACAGACGGTCCCACAATGCAGCTCTGTCGACAGAATCGAAGGATATCCAGGAACACAACAATTGTTGGCTTTTGATACATATAGCGGAGCTTGAGAATATGGCGGAGTGTGAAAATCTGATCGATGTACAGCGACCAGGGTGGAACTTAGCCTGTTCTGTTCGCTGTACTGATCCACGAAGTATGATGGACACCAGAATCTTCCCAACGATGGGGGCCAAACTTATGCCTTCGTACTTGGAGTGCTATGTTCACAGGCGCTTTTTGAAGATGGGGACGGTTATCGACTCACTCTAGTACGATGGAACCTCCTCTTTTGCCCAGACTTCTGAGAACAAAGCGGTGTATTCTCGAACCAGTGAATAGACCCCATCTTTAAATAGAACAGTAGGTAGACCATCAGTGTCGAGTGTCTTATAACACTTTAGGCAGCAGAGTTCCCGCCAGATATCCTGCTGAGAGGGAGGATAAGTTGAGATTTTCCACTCACAACCAGTGCGCGCTCCAGAGGAAACCGATGGAGCTGGCGGTCAGGAAAGCTGCGAGTTAAAATGTTCAGACCCACGCTCCAACTGCGGTTGAAGATTAGTGATTAGGGAGTCATCATCGCAGATTGTTTCGCTTACTTCAGATCGAAAGCTTTCGGTGATTCGGATGAGGTGGGACAGTTTTCTGGCAAACTAGAGAGATTAGCAAGTTCCATTTCTCTGGCACATTTACACCACCAGGTCTCAAGGTCCTTCTGCAAGCTCCGACACAACGATCGATCAGGGATCGGCGTTCCTCACTACAGCTAATCTCGACTGGGATCAAGCGGCGTCTGTCCATCAGCAACAAGAAGGTAGTGGTGATCCAGCTTTTGGCGGGTGACAAGCAAATCCACAACTGAGAGTACTGACAGAAATTAAAGCGTCTTTGATGCGCATCCATTGTGAATTGAGATGATCGTCAAAGGATGAAACAAGTAGTGTTGGCAGAGAAGCCTATTACTTGGCTAACAGCACAAGATGTTGCAGATTTCCGACGTTTGGTCGGTAGTGCGTACGTCTGAATGATTTTCCGAAACGCATGCAAATTTTGGCGCGAACCAGTGCGATATCGGGGTCCAGACAAGTTGATCAGTACGATCGGCAGTCTGTTACACTTCCGCGCCATCTGTAACTTATTGCTATGTGGTCAAGCTAGAACCATTCTTGCGTTCGAAAAGGCGGACCCAAGGTAGCAGTCTGTCTTTTGGAATGACGAAAACTTGTACTCGAAAGAAATAAGCGATGGTCAGAACAAAGAGTTAGTAGTCTGTCTTCATTGTCTGATCGGGTGCTACCAAGGCCAAAACCACCCCCAAGATGGTGCTCGCTTGTTGCGTTAAAATCTCCGGCAAGAATGACAATGTCCAACATTTTAGCGGAACGCAGAAGCTCATGTATCTGTTGGTAAAAGCAATCCTTGATTGCATCTGAGCTGCAGTCTGTAGGAGCGTAGGCTGAGATGACAAAGGCACGCGTAACAACTCGACGCTTACTTAACCTCGTAGTCTGACTGCACATAGCCGACTGTTGACTGGGATCCAGTCAAGCAAAGCGATCGAAGCTCTGTCACTCCGTGCAACTCCGACACCAGCATGGCCAGAAGCGGTGGCCTCTGGGTCCAAGGAAAGGCGCAAGTGGTATTTGACGTCAAGGTTTGCTGGAGGTGTCATCCTCATGACGATACTGGAGTCTTGCAATCTGGTTTCGGAAAGGAAACAGATCTCCAATGAGAGTGTCTCAAGGGTGCGGGACAGGCATACTTGTTGTTCGAGCTGCATTAGAGTGTGCACATTGAACGTTGCAAGGTCGAATGGAGAACCAGGATAAAGAAAAGCTTGGGCTTCGGTTGAGTGTGAGGATGTGATGACCAGCGGGCAAGGAACACCAAACGTTTGGCTCAGAACTCTCTCCGATGTGACCAGTGAGTTGTTGCTGACGATGACCGGGGAAGAAATAGCTGCAGTTGAGGAACGGGACGGGGGATGAGCTGTGAACGGTTGTTGAGTAACAAAGACAGTAAAGCCACTAGACATAGCTAGAGGGAAAGCAGTAGTGTAATCCATCCATGGTTCGTCAGTGGGCGTGATACTACCTGGTTGGCCAGGCCGAAGTAGAGGGTTGTCTTAGGGGTCCCACCCCGAGCGTTTGATTCAGGATATAACTTACAAGGCAAAAGGTCGATATGAGGGTATCGCAACCCGTTGGGAGCCAGTGAGTAAACAAGTGGTTCATACGCCTTTAGGACCGCATAGGACCAGGGGCCCAACACACATTTGAATTACAATGCCGCTCAGAGAGAGGCAATGGCAGTGACTTTAGTTAGTGATAAGTCGCATGCGGCAAGTCAGTGTTGTTAAAAAGACAGTTGTGGCTTTTAGTAGAGTGAAGGTTTGCCAGGCGAAAACCCACCAAGTTCAGGAACACTACCGCCGAACCATTCGCTGGAACGGGATAATCCCGAACCACCCAACTGACATCACGAGGAGGTTGTTCGGCAAACCAGCACGTCCGGAAGCTACCGAAACGGTAGTTCGATATCCATCGTAGCTGCGAGACAAGAATCTTACTATCGGTCCGAATAACAAAAGACTCATTTGTGCAGCTAGATGTCACCAAGCATAATCCGGATTCGAGGATGCTATCATGTTGTTCCTTTCAGGAACGAAACTCATGTGGGAACTGAGTACTTGTAATTTTGGATCAAACTAATTAGGCTGAATTTCGATGTGTGATAACAGCATCGTTAGCTTACAAGTACGCCGCTGTAAATAGGATATTGTTGTTTTGGAGTACTCGCCGGGTGTGGATTGTGACACTCAATCTCATTTGAGGACACGGTTGCTATTGGAGTCAACTCTGTCTTCCGATCGTATCCGAAGTGGAGGACTTCGATGTCACTCTCCACCATCTTGTCGATCGAATTTTCCGAAAAGTATGAATGATTTGGGTCCATACTTGGTGTTCATGTCGTCCCCGAGACGGAGACGCGGCCGATATAGTCCAAGAGAAGAGTAAATCAACCAGCATTGGAATGCAAATCATGAACGTCGCTGTATCCCATATGTTGTTAAAACCCGTAGTCGGACATTTTTCGTCATTGTTGGCACTGTTTATGTGGTGATATACAGAGCTGAGAGCTGGGCCCGAAACGTAGAGGTTGTCGGTAAAAGCCTCCACCACTTGACTTCCAGGCTGCGCGAGCTGCGTTTGTTACAGTGGTTACGAGTAATGTGATTGTCTCCCAGGTATTTATTGCGTATGATGTGACACAAAATCTGGGTATCATTAAGACGTCGGCCAACAATCACTACCTCATGGTCTTGAGTTTAACTTCTATCCACGGCCAACCCAAGCGTACAAGGGACATTGCAACCCGTCGTAGTGCATATTGTTTGGGGAGAGTAACACTCGCGAGCTACCAGCGAAATGACTGTACAAGTAAGCGGCTAGCGTGCCGCAAGCGAACAGAGCAGTTGCTTGCACGCCTGCGCATATTTCGTGTACGCGCTGACTGGTTCGCTGGAGCAGGTTTGTTTAATTGATTCAAAGGAAGTATCTCATGAATGCAACAGCGTCGTTAGTTATGAAAAGGACTTAGTTATTTATATCGAGGTTCTTACATGCTTGTCAGGATGTCATTTTTGCTGAGCTCGCTTTGTTGAATAAACGGTTTCTCCCTGAAGGACCGAGTATTGCGACACTATCCATCTCAAGTACGATTCCAGTGATCGATATAATTGAGATGCGACTCAAAGGTAAGACCAGTCTATGATGAAATTGCTTGTAGCTAATGAGTATAGAATGCATACTCTGAAAGACAACAGCAGAGGCTCACATCAGGTGCCACACCGACACACACCAGCGTTTGCATCGGATTGAAGTGCTTGGATAAGTTCGAATACTTGGCTGTAAGAATCGAACTCGTAGCCATCAGCGCTGCGCGGCCATCACCTCAGTAGTTTCCTGCAGACTTAACCAAAGGATCTGACCGTCCCATAGATAGCGTTTAAAGCGACAGACGGGTTGTAAGGTTATGCTTTCAATGTCCAGCTAAACTGTTCATCTAAATGGCTGACCTTCTTGGGCTTAGTGCGTCACCAAATTAGGTAGCACATTTTCATGCTCTTTTGTTTCACCTCCATTTGCAGATTCTCGATACGGAAATCCGAGTGGACCAAGATCTACAAGATGCCATACAAGATGAGCTGAGATACGATGTGAACTAATGGTTCCGGACAGCAGCTGCCGATTTTACACCATTTAGTCCTCATTGTAAAACCAAATGGCTGTGGTTATCAGCATTGGTTCTCCGAAGCCAAGAGAAAGGTACCGAATCCCTCAATTATGTATCAGACAAATACCGAGAATTTTAATGATGTGTACTTATTTGACGATTTAACCACACCATCCACTGCTATCAGAAGAACCACACACGTGTACACTCTATTTGGTCCACAATAATAGACAGTTTGCATTATCCTATTGCTCGTTCGCTTGATCGTTAACTCGATGACACAGTGACTCAACGAACTCGGACATGCAACGGTTGTTTGAGGCTACACTTCGAATGGAGACACAAAATTAGGTCTAGTGTTTGGAGACACTGTACTGAGTGAAGCCTAATCCAAGTTTGAACCGGTTACGAACTGCATATACGTTGGGTGCTCGGTCGCATGCGTCAAGACCGCGTAGTTCCGTTGATAAAAGGACTCTGATCTGGTGAACAGTGTGCCCAATAGGGGAAGATCAGGTGTTGATGAACCAACGTAGCGGTTTATTTGAAGTTGGGAGAATTCCAAAATCCTTGTTCAGAAGTAAAGTAACAATGTAAAAGCCAACATGCCTGGTGGTTCAAACTTGGTAGCAAGCCTTGCTGAGATGTAGGTTGTGCATAGGGCGGCTTGCGATGCCTCTGTTGTGGCGAACTACAGTGGTGCGTTTGGGGTTCAGGTGATGCGTAGTCGGCGTGTATACCCATGCTAGAAGCAGGATAACAATCGCATACGTAACCGGTGGACGACATGCGCTGGACGGAGTACGATTTTCCCACGAGACTTAGCGTTAGTTCACAAACATATAACTGCTTTTACTTTCGTAAAGGCGGTCAGACCACGTGCTCTAGAACTGTACCACGAGGAGTAGAAATTGCGCTGGAAGGGCAGCTCGACTCACTGATCATCATTTTATGTGGACACTGTGAAAAACGGCAAGTGGACTTCAAAAAGTGACCAAGATCCTTTTCACGTAGTTCTCTGCCGGATTGCTTGTGAACCAATCTGTGCGTTCAACGAATGACAGGCGTTTCGCTTTAAATGGAAATGTTGGACAGCTAGCAATGACCAGGTGTTTTTCGCTTCTTCACTAATATAATTATCGATACTTTTGTCTCTAGGCCTTTAGAGGATAGCCCACCAACCAGGCCTACTAATAATACTTCTAAGTTCAGCCACATCGCAGGTAATGACATGTTGTAACACCTTCATAGCCGTATTGCCTTGTAGCTAATTCCGCTGCATGTACACATACTTTTAGAGCACATGTTTAGTTCATAACACTGAGGCGTTCCATATGGCAAAGCGCGCTCAGGTGTAATTTTTGAGGTAAATAGTATCAAGTTAAGCAATTTGAATTCAAATTGCATTCATGCCACTCTTACGGGTGCGTCGAATCAGTGCCAGGTAGACTGCCATCTGTCAGACTACTTACCCGACCGAGCAAACGGTGGCGTAAATCGACAAGGGCTGGGCGACGATCGATTAATCGAATCAAGGCAGAGACCAGCTACATCAACTTGCACACTACGAGTTGACGCGCATCCGCCTGTGGCCGGGTAGAACACCATCCACTTGCTTACAGGTAAACATTTTCTGGTTGAAAAAGCCGATTCGGACAAGACAAGCAATTAGTAGGCAAGTCGTAGCATGACCTTTTCGTATGCCATCAGCTGTCAAGAAGGACAGCAATGTGCTCCCAGCAGCACTCAGTGACCACACAGGCGTGTGGCGCGTTTCCGCACATTCAGCCACAATACTTCCAGCAGCGATAGTTCGTAAATTCTTTAGCCGTGTAGTACATAGCACTAGTTAAATTTTGCACGATCTATTCAGTATAGTCGGATTTTGACCTTCATGGGGATAAACAGTTGGAGGAACAACATTGGCTCCGCGTGTAACTGTCGAGCTTGAGCAGAGATATGGTGGATGGAAACTCATGAGCCGTACATACGGCGAGCTCAGTGGGATGTCACACGGTGTAACTCAGTACCATTTTATTCTGTGTGCTACTGTAAATAACCCATGGCTATCACGTTTCGATTAAGTAAAGGTTTGAAGTAGTTGATCAGTGCGGATTAGAGCGTTGTACGTGAATGCCTGTAGATGAAATAGAAGTCAACTACGAAAAATCCTGTCTCAAGAAATAACAAGATGGTTCGACGGGACTGAAGTGTGACTAGCTATGGGTCCTGGAAATCTGACTTACATCTAGGCTTGATATAAACTTGCGGTCGTGTATTCACTACTTCGATTGACTCGCTGCGCCAATGAAAAGATGGAAAATCGCTAGACAAGGAGTTCCCTATCTGCGGTGCATATAACAGCGCTGTAGTCCAGTTTCTATGGTGACCAAACCGAATGAATTGCTCTTTCCTACTAGTGGTTCTTTATCGTCCCCGCCTCCTCTCTCATTCCATAGATTAGCATGCGTGGTAGACAAGCAGAAAATGCGCGAATTATGCACAAATCTATTTTTGTGCAAGAGAATGGGCGTGAATGTCAGGCGTTGGTGATTTCGCATCATGAGACGACATAAACCACAAAAAAGACAACGTCCCAATTCATGTGAAGCACAGAAATGCAAATATGTGTTAACGCTTCGCCCGAAACAGCCGCATTGGTATAGTCAAACAACAGAGTACACGAAATTTGGCTGTCTTATGTCGATAGGGCAGATAACAAGTCGGGATAAAGGGTTAACAAATTTGAATATGATAGAAAAGGCATGACCTCACTCAATACGTCGATTGGCATAAATGTCGACTTCAAGTTAGGCAACGGCGCTACTTGATCGCCTTGTTGTTTCCGCTAATGACATGGTCAGGTAACAATTAGGTTTGCCTGGTGTGCCGCGTCCACCGGTTGAAAAAGGGTCGTACCTACTAGCTAATTAAGCGGTACTTAAATCAACGAGCAAACAGTTGTAAACAAGGTTCAAGGGCGAAGCAACTCCCTCGCAGATAAGACGCGTCGCACGCGTCATTAGCGCAATGCCTATATGGGTAGAACTTCAACCAGTGGGAGCCGCTGAAGTAAAAACGCAACATCTATGAGAAAAGTAAACATGCGTACTGAGGAGCGGGGTTGTCGTCCCGTGGATTCATTCAGTCCTCAGACAAACCGCTGATCAGCTAGTCAGTATTCCTTTTGGCAAATACAGAGGAAGAAAAAAGTGCAAGACCTCCTTTAGATATAAAAGGTTGAACTAGTTCCAGGTCAATCAATTGAAACAAGTGTGATCTAAGCGGCCGGATCGGTTATAAAAGTTGTTTTGAAAAGTAAGACATGACAGTATTTGTTTGGATACGATGTATTGATGTCGATAGTGCCAGTGTTAAGGAAGGATCGTGCGAAAGAATAGTGAACTCAGATCCGAAATAAGGGAGCTAGTCTGAGAATACTCATCCTGAGCACAATGTCTCAAAATTGCTAGCAGGTAAAAATTTGGTGCATATATCTTGAGTAATAAGGGGTTACGAATGAGCACTGGTCCTTCCGGAAAAGGAAGAAAGCGGAAGAGCGGGTCGAGCGATCCAAACACCCCAATTGACTTTAGGGTGACAAAGATAATGGGTGCTTGTTCACAAGAGACAAAGAATGCCACGGAATAACTACCTTCGGATGCAAATAAAAAGCGTCTGTCGCCTTGATAGCCTTGATAAAATAAACGCAACCGAGAATTTAGTAATTTGAATTACCCAGCATTTAGATACTGGGTGTTGCGAATCGCAATCAATTCATACAACAAGCACTACAAAATAACCCTCAAATCACTCAGCATTTTATTCTCATACTCGATTTGTAAGCCATTGAGTGTTCGCTGTGGGCAAAACATGGAACAGTGGAACAATGGTATATTACGGGCAACAAAAGCGGATGCTTAACAAGTCCCTTAGGATGGCAAAAAGAGAACCACAACATGGTCAATAGAAAACAAAGGGATAAAATGAAAATCATTTTGGTGGACTCATCATAGTGTTAACACATAGGCACGCAGAAAGACCCAACCAGTTGTTTAGGTTAATTCTGGTTGTGCAACGTTCGTCGAATTATATCGTCTGTCGAGACACACAGGCTATATCTTGTATTGTAGGTGGGTTAGGGTAACATCAAGGCGTTTTTAAACACAGGTGAAGTGGGGACGGAAGCAAGGTAATTTGAGAGAGCCTTCCAAGGCGGACACACACGAAGAAAGTAAAGGTTCTGACGACATCCTAGCCCACTATATTGCGTGGCTAACTTGAACTGGTCGCCCCACAAATTCTTGTTGTGGCTCAATTGTAGTATGTGACGGCAGACGTGGTTGGGGTTCCTTAATATCTGGTAGGTTATAATAAGGTCGCCACCTAGGCGCCGGTACTGGACACTGTATGATTTTAGGGTCCTCAGTCCAAGTTGACGTGCTTCGTGGTTCGTCGCTGTGGAGTCACGAGCGTTGCAAGGTCTTGTTTGTGCCATGGCTGCCACACCTGGATCGCGTATTCCACATGACGCTGCACGTAGGTGTTAAGCACATGCGGACAGACAGAGGGATCAAACCGCCCAAATGCCCTCTGCAGCATACCAACGTGTTGGTTCCCGGTCTTTAAAGCCTTCACAAATTGTGCTGAGCCGCCCAGATCAGCCTGAATTAGTATCCAAAGGTCGCGCTCCCGGGTGAATGCTTGCAGGACATGATCAAGTTTGTATGTGATGGTCGGATCTTGGCGAATGTGAACCATCTTACACTACCCCGAATTGAACTGGAGCACATTTTGGAGTGACCACGCATACGCTCTGTCCAGGTCTCACTGAAGTACATCGTGATCTGTTGGGTCGGCGATCGTCCGCCACATCTTAACATCGTCAGCGCACAGCATGAAATCTGAAGCAATCAAACGCGTAAGTTGGTTAATGAACACGAGAAACAGACGCGGCCCCAGATCTGATCCTTGTGAAACTCCACCTTAGAC